TGGCTTCACATCCCCAGCCCTGTCCCACAGCCTCATCCCTCCTCTGAAGCCTGGAGCAGGTGGAAGGACTCTGGAAGGACCATGCTCTTGGCCTTTTCCTGCACAATTGCACAAGGTTAATGAGACCTGCAGAGGAATCTCTGCTGGAGACAGGGCAACACGAGCCTTGCAGAGCATCACATCTGGAGTCCAGAGGCGCCTGCCTCCCCTCTTTGCGTTTGCTTCCCACTCCCTCATATGGAGCAGGATCAGAGTCCCCTTTGCAGAGCTTGAACAAGGACTGGGGAAGAGGAATAAAGGGGAAAGGAGATTTGAAAATGAAGTCTAGTTATTTTTTAATCTCATACCTGAAATTTATAGCATCATTCTCCCCTCTGAATAAACAACTATTCTGTCCCCTCCAATTACAACGCACAAAGCTGACTGCTACATGCAATGTCAAATTTACACTGGTGCCTTTTATCAGGATTTCCTTTCATATTGCTCTCTAAGCAATGACTTTGTAAGGAGATTAACTGCATTATATGCCACACATTAAACAAACCCACATGTATACAACACAGCTTTTAAAAGATTTCTCTTTTCCCCAGGATAGCCCTTCCTGTCTTAGAAGGTCTTGGTTTTTCTTGGTTTTTAGCACCCGATCCCTCAAGCACTGGTCCACTACCACCACCACCAGAGAAGAGTTCAAGCCATACCCAGTATCCATCAATACTGCCAATAAATCAGGTAGAGGTAGATTTATTATTCTTATTCCATGAGGAAATTGCTGATCAGCTCTGCTTGCTATCCGAGATAAAGGAAACAGGAAAAAATGCAGAGACTTGCAATAAAGGCAAGGCATACATTTTCCTACAAAGGAATCTTCTAAAGAGAATTCCTTTAAAAAGTTCATTCAGTTTTTTCCTTAATACTTGTTCTTTTTTTCTAAAAGGTATTCTCCCACTAATTTCTACAGTTTACAAAACCCAGACTCAATAAAACCTGACAAAAACAAACCACAATCTTCCCAAGTGCTATGAAACCCACAGCAACAAAACTGACAACTTTATATTCATTTGGTGACATAAATTGTGGCCACCATAGATGTTTTCCAAGGAACTGTCTAGTTCCTGTAAGCACCAGCTTTCAGGAGACTGCCCAGAGTAGCAATTCTTTGCTGAAATGGACCCCAAACACTCTTGTAGTTGGAACATGGGTGGACTCTTCCGTTCTTCCTTCCCACAGACTTACTTGGACCAGGCAGTGACACCCAGCAAGAGAACCTGGGTGGGTGAAGAGCCAGTTCTTCTCCCTCAAGTTGCTTTCTTTGCTTTACAAGGACTCAGCTGGTTCCTCATATGGGATTGTTCCGTATGTTCATGTTTCCTGCTCACATCCACACTGTCTCCCCAAATCTGAAGATCTGGGATGCTGGAGGGGCTGTCTCCCCCTGCCACTTCCTCCTGCCTTCCCTTGCCTCTTTTCAAGACTGTGGAATGTTTATTCTCCCAGCTCCTTTTGCTATTTACCACATCTCTTCTAACACCTGAAGTGCTTTTCCTGATTTCTATTGCTCTTTACCATATACTTTTCCTTGACTTTCTGTCAACTCTCCTGGCATCCCTGAAAGTTTCCATTTTTTAATTCTCTACCTATCAAAGCTACTAAAATAAAACTCTGCAAACTGATCTTGACATACAGGTCTAAGAAAAAAAAGATTTTTTTAAAATTACTATTACAAATACTGAGTATTATTACTGAATCAGTTAATGAAAAACAGATAAAATATGCTTCTCTTTTTGTAGGGGTTGAAATAATTAAAATGCATGATGTAATTGTCCATGCTTTTCTGTGAAAATAAGAAACCTACATTCAACAACTCCATGTTCAGCTGTTTTTCCAGCTGGAAAGATGGAAAAAAAATTAGAATATCCATTCATTCTCTGAAGAGGAAGCGACCAATCTTTACACAACACAAATTAGTTTATCTAGAACTAATATTTTATATTTAACATAGAAGCTGATCCAAGATCTTGGCTTTATCTAGATGAAAGGCAGGCTGCTTGTATATTAGTGTGGCAATCTTACTTAACTAAAGCTAGAATTGTGTACATGGAAATTACTTCTGTAGGAGCAAAATTAAGGGAAATAAAAACCCGAAAAGTCTGAAAGCAGTCATCAGCCAAACCTTTCTTCAAATGGACATTTTCCAGGTACCAAAATGATGACAAAGCATTACATATGCAGCCTAAGAAGTTATTGAGGTGAGGCTGTACTGTGTTCATGTAGCTAGAAACATCAAGTTTCCTTCCTCTAGGGTAACCCTCTGGGCTTCAGGCACACAAATGATGGAACATTTGCACCTGGAAAGAGACCAATAAAACAAAAATGTCCCTAAGATACTAGAGTAACACACATACACACCCACACCTGCAGTGAGAGATTGATTTGCCTTCCAACAGGAACTACAGTCCTTCAGTCTCTATGACCCACAGACCTCAGGAACAAAATGATGCTCACTCCTACAAAATCATATTTCAGAGCGAACCCTTTGCCCTCCCAGAGGGGCAGGAATGGGATGCTCACCCAGGGTGGCAGCAGAGGTGTGTTCAGCAAGAAGGAGGAGCAGAGCCAACCCCCTCATTATTCAAACACCCATGTGATGCTGGGGACACCAGAAGCAGGGAGCCACCTTGGCCAGGGCCAGCTGCAGAGGCAGCAATGGAGCCTGTGAGCTCCTGCTTGCCCTTTCCAGCCCCAGGGAGGGATTCTGCCCCTTCCTCAGCAGCCTCACACACAGAGCAAGCACCACTGCAGGTGGCTTCACCACGGGGCTTTGCTTCCCTCACACACACTCAGGTGTGCCTGCACACATGCTGACACAGGGGCACACATTCTGATCCTTTCATTTGTTGCAACACTGCATCCATGGTAAATACATCCATCCTGCTGCAGTAAATCATCATTTTACAATGGATATATACCTATATTATTACTGTAATACTGATGTACTGAACCATTAGTATAAAAAAGCAAGCAGGTGATAAAAATGATGCAAAGACTCCCATAAAGTAAGAAACAAAACCCAAACTACTGTAGCAAACATTAGCACTGAGATAAGTAAATTAGTGATTATTCTGGAGATAAATTAGTGGGTAGATAGGAGTAGGTAAAGTGTATGTGGCTGCTTGTATCTTTTCCAGTAGGGAGCTGTGAGCTGTGCCTTCTAGGATCTATGTAGTGTCAGTGCAATAATATGGATGGATATTTAGGACTAGGCTATGACCATGACTCTGAGGCAATTGCCTTCCATAGAAGTCAGCACACCAGCAAATTTCATCCTTATTAACTTCGCTGCTTTTATACATCACACTAATTAAAAACCCTACCATAAAAGTTGCTCTCAGACACTTTGCATAGAGTAAATATGCTGTGGGAATCCAGTGTAACTGCAAATTTGCCTCTAAGTAGAAAACAGTCAGTGACCCTGAAGAGATCAATTTTTAGGCAGCCATACAATGTATCCATGGAACAGAAAGATTAACTCTTCTCAGCACATTTCAAGACTCCCAGTGAAACCAAATCTTCAGAGAAAACATACATTCAGAATGGCTTTGGAATCCAGATCTAATATATGGAGAAACTTTCAAAGCAGGTCATTTATTTGACATAATTGTGCTAACATCCCTTTAAGCTGTGCAAACCCGAAAGATCATTTCAAAATATTAACTTATTTCTTGCTATCAACAACAATGCAATTAATTCCCCTCAATAAAGATTGTTTTTGCAAAAGAGCAATAAGGTGCCTCTGCAGGGGGCATCATTATCATTAAATAATCACACCCCAGGAGACGGGAGGCACTGCGCTGCACCATGTACATTTTAGCACTCCAGAGTATGATTAGTTTGTGTTAACCACACCCCAGAACAGCTAATTGGGAAAAGACTATAAACCGAGGAGGGTTCTGGATTTCTTTTATTTTTGGAACTGACAGGGAAGCCAGGAGGTTTTTTACCAGTCCCATGGAAAAGGTGGCCAGGTGTGACCTGGCAAGGCCATCTTGCTCTGGCTGTCACTGGAGCCCGTGACACCAGCCTGCCATGGTAATGCACTTTAATATCTGCATCCTCAAAAACTTACATTAACCATTCCCTACATGTAACAAGGGGGCTAGGTCAGGGCTTTGGGATAGTATGTTTTCATATGAAAACCAAACCAGGCCCAGCTGTTCTGCTCAGATAGAATCATGGAATCATTAAAGTTGGAAAAGTCCTCCAAGATCATCAAGTGCAACCTTCAAGCTCATACCATATCAGGAAATGCCACACCTACTCACTTTTTGAACAATTCCAGGGATGCTGATTCCACCACCTATATATATGCAGGAAAACAAACACATTATTTTAATAGAAAGGCTTCTTCTTATCTGCTGGATGTCTTGTATCATTTTGGACAGTCTGCTCTGATATATGGCAAACCTATGGCAGTAGATGGAATGTTTTAAAAATACATACTTCCAGAAGATAGATAATTTGCTTTGCATGGTGCTGGATTCCTGAGGACTCAGTGGTTGGTTTTATCCCCTGTTTAAATCAGTGGTCTTCACCACAGAATTCACCCTGGCAATTAGATACCCCTGCTATGCATGGAAGCTTGTGACGATTACACTCCAGATTTGTCAATTTTCCCCTGCTGAAAAGAGCATGTAAGAAAATTGTGAAAGAGCCATCTCACAATTTGGTTGGGAATAAAGGAGAAACCACCTCCTCATTTTAGAGATGAAATTCAAGCCTGCTTTGACAGCCTGAGGCATGACTTCAAAGGCAGCTGCATGGGCACAGGATCAGCTCTGTGTGTTCAGAACCAAGACCAAGGGTAAAGAAGCTCATTGCCCACCCCAGAGCGAGCCAAGCCCTTTCCTGGGACACTGCAGCCCCCTCAGGAGCTGCTGAAGATGGAAGGGAAGCAGAAATGCAGGAGAATGGAAATTCCTCAAGGAGTGGTGGGGACACCATAGAGATGCCCCCCACGGGTGTGGAGGGCACACACCCAGGACAGGCCACATGACCAGGGACACAGAACGTTCCACAGCCACATGAAGACTGTGAG